GCGTATAGTGTACTTTTAAATATTGAAGAAGACCATAGATTTTAGATTTTGATAAATATTTCAAAACATAATTTGTTAAAAGATCGACAGACCTATTTTGTGTTTCTTTTTTGATTAAATATCACGACCATTCTAAATATATTTCAATAAATATGAACTCCTGTTATAAGTATTAATTTTATCGTTCCCAACGAAAAACCAATCGGTGAATTCGTGAAACAGGAACAGAACTTTTTCTGACACACATACATAATAAAATACACAATAAAATATAGAATAATTTCAAATACTAATCTCGTGTTTTGTAATCTGCAGATACAATTAAACATTTTGCTTGTACCATTTCACTTGGTATAATTATAGACGAACTTCACATTTCGGTATTGAAAGTTTGACAACACTGTAATGGGTTACCCCAACTCACCGTTGTTTAAACGTAGAGCACGTCAAAGAAGCCAGTGATTTTTTAGCATTTCGACATTTCAGGTCACGGGCCACGAAAAGTCCGTAAGATGCAATGTCTATTCACATACCTCGTCTGTGGTGTCGGGTCATTCTTTGACCCTCCGGCTCATATCTGCCGGATAGAAGCGTCGTCGTCGGAACTGGATCGCAACGCCAGATCAACTTGGTCGACTATCGAAACGAACGCTTTGAAGACGACGATGTCCCTGGATAAAAACGTACGGCGGACAGGTCCTGTAGACGGAAACGAGAGGGAAACGATCGGAGAGAAAAGCGCATTTTTTCTCGATTTTCCTGTCCTGACGAAGCCAACCTTTCACCACCTCTCCTCTCCCCCCCCCCTCTCCTTTCCCGACGATGCATTTTCTTAATTCATCCCCCCTTCCGAGGAAACGACACGGACGAGCCTTATCGTCGAGCCTCGCGGAAGATTCATGGCGCCGGGCGAATTAGCTTCGTTTTAGAATTTCGCGCGAGCACGAGGGGGATGAAGGAGCGGAACATTAATCTCACCCCTCGAGGCGGGAACGTTAGTCCCGATATTAGAACCTGGCAAGAATCAAGGACGAAGTAATTGAGGCTCGTTGAGAGGCGTTAGAACTTCCTCGTTCGAGGTTGTGGAAGTTTGTTAAGCAGCCGGGACTGAGGCGAAGGTTGCAAATAGAAAAGAAGGCGCCGGCGAGGGGTTGGGAAAGAAAATTGAACAAGAAAACGGTCGGAAGCGGGTTGGGAGGATAGACGTTTCGACGGTCGTGCAAGCTCGCGCGGCAGGCTCCGGGTTAATTGCAAAATTAACCTTAATTATTGGACGCCTCGTCTCCTTCTTGGACATTTCCATTCCCCTCTCGCCGACGATAATGTTGCAGGTTAGTTACCGGCGCCTGTGAGATTTAATCTTTTTTGGTAGAGCCACCGTTACGTCGAAAAGCTTTCTCCGGTTCTTCAGCTTGATTTCTCACATGCTAACGCGATCCCGTTGCGTTCTTGCGTTTCTCTATCCTTTCCGGAGCTTCTAAAGTCCCGTTTCTAATAAATTCCTCCAAGTAATCTCCTCCGAAAGCAATGATGAAATAAACAGTTAATTTTGTAGATTCATTTATTTGCTAACTGCTATATTTGATTTTAGTTTCTCTAATTTTATTCCTCGCTATTTCGAATTGTTCCAAAACTGTAAATGCCTGTACAAAGCTGATGCATTGAATCCATAATCACAGTGTAATTTGTACATTAATAATTAGAATGTCAAGAGAATTGTAAACGAACATCGTTTGCAATTCTGACTGCATGTTTTGTTATAAAAAAAACCCCCCGGAAATATGTATTATATGTTAGAAAAGAAATATCGAAAATATATGTCGCACGTTACAGGTTAGAAATGCCTGTGTAATATGACATTTTATTTAAAAAATGTACCAAACTGACATAGGAGAAGGATGAGGATTAACGGAAGTTAAACCCATATTACGTCCGTATCAAATCTTCCGTAGTAGATCTTCGAACACACGCAACAAATCAATTGTACAATTTGAACATACTTTCCAATCAATTTTACCAGTCTTGCAATTTCTAACGTTGGCGATTTGCTTTTAACTGAAAGGTACAAGGTTGTGGAATAGTAAAATCCTCACGAACCGTCGAAGTGATTTATTGTTCCATATTTATACACATAATAAGCGATATACGATTATATCGTATGTAGGTACTAGATTGTATCATATATATAATATATATATATGTTCATATATATATATATATATATATTCATTCATTTATTTATATATCGAGCATTCTGTACAATAAATAAAGACTCTAGAGCATTTAAAACATAACACGGCGTACTCTCTTGCGATTGCCATCGAAAAGTGTACAATAATTTAACGAGTCTCCCCGTGCGTATATGTATGTGTATTCTCTATACGTGCTTTCAGAAACTGCTCGTGGCTGGCAGGCGTCGCGACGACGCCCAGCTTTGTTCGACCGGAGGTGTATGTATATATACAGCGCACAGGGTTTTTACTTTGAACATCCCAAACTAATCGTAACAATATCTCCCTTCCCCGTTCGATTCGATTCGATGGATGATCACGTTCTCGTGGGAAGTTCCGATATAATTCTCCTTTCTTTTTCCTTTCTCTAACGCATTAAACAACTCGCTCAAACGCATTCGTTTACACTTTCACAACTATGCACGTGTATATATATATATATATTTATTTATTTATATGTATATATCCAGAGAAAATACGTGACGTACGGGAGAAACATTGTCACGTTTCGTCGGTGTGAAACGCGCGTGGATCGATAGTCTTGCAATATGCTCGCGTCTGTCCGAAAATCGTTACTCATCGTTACGGTTACGGTAAGCTTGGATTAAAAACTGTAAGCTGGAAATTTCGTCCGAGAGAGGAAAAAAAGCCGCGAGCGTCGCGGACGACGTGAACCGCGGATAGAGCCGAACAGAGAATGTCACCTGTCGTCGTGTATATTGTTCCGCACTGAGGTGGGAAGGCGCGTAGAAAAAGGTAAAGTAGAGTGAAGCAGAAAAACTCCTCACGCTCGTATAAAAAGGTTTCGCATGCGAGGACGCAAAAACCGGCAGAATTCAAAAGGTTCTTTATAAAAAAGATCGCATCGAACGAATCACCCCTTTTTTAAGTATAAAAAGACGTCCCGTGTGTGCCTGCTGCGTGTGCGAGTTGTGTCCGCGTGTCATTCGCACGTGTGTGTGTGTGTGTGTGTGTGTGTGTGTATGTGTGTGTGAGTACGAGTCTCGAATGAAAAGCGAGTGCGATCGAGTCGGGAAAGTGGACGGTTGCTCGATCCGATCGAACCGATTCGGCCAATCCTTCGAACAACCCTCGACCCTCCGCGACCCGAGTACAATATCTCTAACGATAAGGTAACGAACTATTTATACAATCGTACAACGTACACGCTGCCGTTCCGTGTCGTTCACGGAACGAGATAATCGTTCTCGATAATCGAATCGAAGCGTTAACCGTGGCTTGTTTTCGAATCGGAGATCCCTTTATCCTTAGAACGGCGCTCAAGACAAGAAGAAACACGAATCGCGACACGATCGAGTCGAATTATAGCGCTTGATTCCGACGTTTGATTCTCCGGCTCGATTTCACGGCAAACGTGTACTCGTCTTTTCAAGATTCTTGCCTTGTCTCTGGCAAGAGGAGCATAAAATCGTTCGTTCCGACCGTGTCACAATTTTGAACCTGCAGTTTCGTTTAAAACTTTCACTTTGCTGAATTGAAGGGAACGACGCACACAAGTTATCCGAGCTGTTCGTCTCTTTTATCTTTTCCTTTTGCTTCGTCCTTTTGTGCATCGTTCGCTTCTCATTCGTTCATTCGACGAACCTTGTTATCGACTACTCGATCGATCTTCGTCGAAGCGACGCAATATACTTACTATTGTCTTCTTAAATCCACGAACCGAGATACATACAACATGCATTTCTATCTAACGTGACTAATGTTCACGGGAATGATCGTCCCGTTTCTTGGAACGAGGATCATCATTCGTTGAAATAACGAGCCTTCTGAATGTTTAACTCGTTCAGCCCCCTTGTTATTACCTGGAGATAGTTGCTCTTTTCGTTGCCGTTGCCACAAACTTTCTCAAATACTTTATGATATGTCTGTCCTGACATCTGAGAACATTCTATTATACAAACGCAATTGCAATTAACTTTTGAGTTGGGCGATAGACGATTACGTTTTAATTTGTCTCAAATCGTTAGGATTCAGAGTCTGTCTGGTTATCTCGGATAATTGGAAGATTAATAGTAAAATTCAATAATATCGAAGATTAATAATAGTAAAATTCAATAATATCGAAGATTAATAATAGTAAAATTCAATAATATCGAAGATTAATAATAATAAAATTCAATAATATCGAAGATTAATAATAATAAAAATTCAATAATATCGAAGATTAATAATAATAAAATTCAATAATATCGAAGATTAATAATAATAAAATTCAATAATATCAAAGATTAATAATAATAAAATTCAATAATATCGAAGATTAATAATAATAAAATTCAATAATATCGAAGATTCTAAGACCAAGTAGTAATTCGACTGTAAATCACTACGGTTTCAGTTAAAAGTTAAGACCAACAGTAATAGCTTAAAACAGTCAGGTGTGTCGCACGAAAGTATGGCCGAACTTCGATCTATCGCCCTGTGGCACTGTGTGCAGTCGAGGACTGAAAGAGTCAACAACAGCGTCTGTTGCGGAGGATCTGAACGCTCCGGTCCCTCCTCGATTTATGCGACCGTCGCACCTCGTCGTCAACGCGCGGTTGGACAAACTTCGAGCCCCTGTTGTTTCAGTCAGAGAGGGCCCGGGGGATCGGCAGCTCCTTCGAGGAACAAAAGCGCCGCGATAATAAACGCGGGAAGAAGAACCTGGACGAGGAAACGCGAGGAAACTCCGTACGATACGGCGGAATCGTTCCCTCGTGCCTCGGGAAAAAAANAAAAAAAAAAAAAAAAAAAAAAAAAAAAAAGAACGAACAGTTCCGTACGAATAGAATCTAGCGATCTGTGGTGATCGTGCATCCTATCGTTCTCTTTCGTATCGGTATCACGTGATCGAATAGCGGAGAGGCAACGATAAATTCGTGTTTTTCGTTCGTCCATCACCGGACAGCCACGACGAGACGAGACGAGACGAGACGAGAGATTTTCGTTACGATTGCGCCGCAAACGGGGTTTCGTGCAACAGACAGAAGACGCGAGATCGTTAGCTGCGTTGGCAATTAAGGATAGCTTTTCTTTTCTGTTTCTTTTTCTTTTTTTTTTTTTTTCTGCGATCAGAGGAGGAGCCGAGCCCTCTGCTATCGGCCACGTCGTTAAATCGGCCGTCCTTTTCACGATACCGCCGCAGAAATTGCCCCTTCCTTCCTTCATTTCCTCTTCGTCCAGGACGAGGAACAGGGATTTATTTACTTTGTTTCGCGGGGAATTTGTCTCGCGATGGCAGTGGGACTTGGTTCGGCGTCGTCTTCGATCCTCTGGCAGCGGGATCTCGATCGAGAAGAACTCAAGGATTCAAGGACGATTGTTAAAGATCGACTCGAGCCAAGCAGCTAACGATTTCCCTCCCCTCCCCCGCACGAAAATTTGATCGTTTCTTCCGACTCGGCGGTCACTACCACTACCAAGAGCCAAAAAAGAGAAAGCTGGACAACACTCCTATTAGTACCAGCCAGCCAACCGGATCGAACGATCCTCTTCTCCAGGCGGCGTTGTTCATGCAGGTCTCCCGAATGCCGACGATTTTCAGGCCACGGCGAGCCAGCAGATTGTGAACGCCTCGTTTGTCGCTTTTCTGCAGGATGTGCTCTCGCGAGAGCAGCAATGAGTACAGCTGATTGTCCGGGCTCCGGGAGCAGAAAGTCAGCACCATGTCCGAGGCCACGGCCTTCATTACGTGGACGTTGCCGGCGAACTGGTTGTACTGTCTCGCTACCAGCGTACCTGTCGAAATCATTTTCAATCGATTAAAACTCTGTACTACGTACGTGCCCTCTGTTTCACGCGCGCGCGAGAGTTTCAACGTGTCCGTGTACTCTTTAATATACGAATACTCGCGTATTCCTGTCGAAACGGTGGCCTGTGTTTCTATTTCTATGACACCTGTAACATCGAACACACCCGGATCTCAATCCGTGGAAAATTTTCAATTTTAACGGATTACCTTTCACACCGGTTTCACACGGCTCTATCAAATCCTCGGTTTGTGAAATTTTTAGTGCACGTGTATTTCTGCTCGTGTGTTTTAAACACACTTGTATAACACTTTAATGGTTGCAACATGAAGTTTCGTGTCTTATCTTGGCAACTGCCAGGAACGAAGGAGAAATATCGACCGCCAACGTAAAACTACCTACGTCGACAAATTTATCGGGAGACGTTTCTCGCCACTGTTTCATCTTTCGTACAATTCTGCAGCTAAAACAACGAAAAAAAAAAAAAGAAATGAAAGAGATGTAAAGTGCAAGCGACATTGCTGATGGCTGCGTTAAGCGACACGTTTATAATAATGTTTATTTATTCCAATGTACACTTGAAATTGTGCTATTGAAAATGCAACCATCGAATTGCACCGGCTTGTCACAGCAAACTCGCAACGCGTTGTGTACCAGTCATCCGCAGCAGCAGTAAAATGAAAGATAAACAAAATTGTTGAAATACTGCGCGACAGGAAGTGAATAGCCGTTTGGTTAACCCTGCGTCGGTTGACCGCAGGAAATGCCAGGTGATTGGTCCCCGTAGTATGATTTTTGGAAACTACGAGGTTTATGATCGCGCGGGGGATGATATTTGTCATCGTGGCATGGAAAATGTAGAAACAATCTAAAAATGCGTTAGACGCTGCAATCTAAATGCATTAAATCGTTTATCAGGTTGCAAAATATTTTATCTGGGACAATTTTGCACGCGCAGCGAAACACAATTGTCACTGACACTGATAAAGTATAAATTAATCGTGTCAAATGATTTAAAAGAAAAATAACTGATCAACGCGATTGGAAATTACAAGAGTTACTTGTAATTATCTATTTATCTCAACAACAATGATTACAATTATACTCAACAATCGATTAAAAAAACTATTGCAAAGAGAATCAACTGTCGCCTGACTCTTGATTAAAATAAAACCGTGACAAACAACTCGATCAATTTGATCTAAAGATAAGCGTAACCTAAATCTGATCCGTAACTAGAGAATCTCTAAATCTGTTCGTGAATTTTCTTTCAAGAGGATTCCTTACGAAATCTACTTTGACACCGTAGTGAAATTACAGACGAAGAACGGTGGAAGAGAATCTTAATCTCTTTCTTCTCTTTGGAGAAATATTTCTCTGGTCTATTTTCTCTCTCTCTCTCTCTCTTTCTCTGCGTGTCTGTGGACGCGTCGTTCCAGGCGAATGGAACGGAAACATCGAAATGATTTGGAATCGGGGAATACGCAGTCGTGATTCAAGGGGAATCAGCAGCGGAAATCAGTGAATCGGTCTGATTATTGTCTACGACGACTGGGAATGCCAGCGTGCTCCCGTTGGAAATCCGTCACATTACGCGCCATTATGTCGTTGACGATGTACTTACGCCGCTGATTAGGAATACGCGGAGACGAAATTACAGGATTGTCACGTGTGGTGCACGTACGCTATATTTCATCTATTGTCATGGATTTTTTTCTCATACCTAACGAGCGCGAACTATTTTCCAATTCAATCCATTTACAGTTCAAGGTATCCCTACGAACACGAGCGTTTCTCTAAAGATGAGACTTATATATATATTTGGAATCTTTCATAATCCCTTGACTATATAAAGTTTCAAATACTTCAGGAAATGTTAATTTCTTTATTTGGAAAAATGTCGTTCTGATATTTTTTATTCAGAAGAAACGTCCTAGACTTTCATTTAGGTATGCACTTTGACGAAACGATGATCGACGTTACTTTAATATTAAAAAATTTTAAAAATTGAAGAATTAAAATTAGAGATTAAAATGCCAATGGATTGAAATAAGATAAACCTTATGCAATGAAAAGTTCTCAACAAGATTAACTGCTACAGTCTAACATATTTCAAAGTACAATTACAATTCCAATTCCAAAGGAAAGTACATGTATTAATCTCGCGTGTTAAACAATGCAAAAATTTTTCTGCAATTTGTCCATTTTCAATTCTTGGATACTTTCAATTACTTACTATCTGTCTTTGATAAAGAAATTTGATTTTTTGAACTTTCAATCAGAATTAGGGTACTTTGACAAGAATTTGTATGTAGCGAGCGCCACGCATACATGATTAATATAAACAAATAAAAATATCTATTGCAGCAATAAAATCGTAACGTAATTGTCGTAAAACACCATGAGATCTATATTATATAATGATAGTTTCTTACAACTTTCCTTACGTCTCAATTGTGCTTGCGGACAGCGAAGTTGCCGACAACTCTCGTCCTTGCTTCTCGTTGAGAAAGTGCTAATCCTGTTGAAAAAATCTCAGCCAAAAAGCCTGTTGGCTGACAGCGAATGAACGATATCCGGACAGTCAACAATACCTTAGGTTATTTTACGGATAAATTACAGATTTACGGTATTATCCTTCCCTTGTAAGATTAGCAGTCGTGTTAACTGTTAGAACGAATACCCTGTATATCGAAGATCGTTAAATCGTTCGTTTTTTAAATTGCGAAATCTGTTCGTGCTGAATGTTTCGCCGATAAAACGACAGGTATTATTACTTCGGAAAATGATTGTCACACGTCTGTTACGTGCCAATCGCAATAACGTTAACAGCCAGTACTATCGTATTATAACTGCGTCCCCCCCCCATTAAGCTGTTTCGTCGTGTAAACGGTCACTAGCCTTCGGTATATTGACGTTTAATCGTATGAAATTAATTGTAGCAGCTGTTCAGTCGCGCGAAATTCCGCGCGGAGGACTTTACGTTTTCATCGGGCGAGTCATTTTACTAATCATATCGGCTCGTTTATTTCCTGAGTCGACGTTTCGACGTCGATCCGCGACAGTGGCTTAGAAAAGGGGGTGGCTGATGATCGCGTTCCCTTGCTGGTAATATTCAACTACTCCCTTGTGACTTCTTAGGTTTATAATAAAAATATTTAGTTGTTAGATTCTTCCCTTGTCTAATTGTCTGAGATATTAAATTATTATTATTAATATTTATATTATCAATATATAAACATTATTGAGATATTCAATTATTATTATTAATATTTATTATTAATTATAAATATTATATAATTATTATTGTTAATAAAGACGTCGCAAAGTTATTGTAGTAATAAGCATGAATAATTGTTGTTGCTAGTGTTTAGCATAAATAACTGCAAAAGTCATATTTATAAAGAAGCTGCATCGATCGATGGGTTAAAAGGATATATTATTCTTATATTTAAGAAAGTGGGGATGATCTTGAGATTTCGGAAACACTTTCGTTTACAACGCTGTCGCATGCTGAAACAGAGTATCTTTCGTTCGAATAATTTTTCCATTCTAGAGAAAACTAAATATGTCAACCATATAAACTTTATAAGAACCATCTTGCATATTGCAAATTAATAAGAGTATCTCTAATAATTCATAACAATGCTTATTTCCTTGCCTAAATCTTATCTTAGCACATTGTGACTGAAAAAAAGAAAACTGAAATGAATTTGTCTATCAAAAAATGCGAGAGAATTAACAAACAATGGAGCATTAAATAAGTATGAAATATAATTGCATCAAGTGCACTTAAACTTTACTAGTGTATATTAAATTGTTTCCCTTTTGTACATTTCATGCCGAAATTTAAGCTAATTTAAATTACGCATATTAGCGTTCCTTCTCTTCTACAGAGAATAAACGAGTTTAAAACCAATCCTGCCATTCTCTCTTTATTTTTCATTTTCCCAGTACGCCGAGTGCTTTCATCCGAACTGTGTTCGTTACACGGTACAAAAACGTGGGATCGAGGAATTACTACTGACAACGAGGGAAAATGTGCGGCAGAACAAAGAGAAGTGAAGATCTTTGTTTAAAAAGTGACATGATCGTGTTGTTTCGATAAAGTCTGTCGGATCCGTAGAATTTTTAGTAGAGTGTCTCGACGCGAACGTCAGAGAGATTTTTTTTTTTTTTTTTTTGCGGAAGAGAAATCAGATTGTGCTTCGTTTCATTGTTTCAAAACATAACTAACAATGGCTGTTCTCTAACTGTGACCTCTCTTGTGTGGCCAATTATATTTCATATTCATTCATTTAAAGAATATCAGACATTTGAGAATATTTAACTTAAATTAGTTTGAATGGAAAATGAAGTTTTTTTTTAAAAGTCCAATTAGTTTACGCTTGAAAAACAACGCGATATCGATGTATGATAAATCTGTAAAAATATACGTATTGTTGTTTGCTGCTACATCGTGCTAGATGGAAAAATCAATATATTGTACTTGCAAAGATAAATAAAACAATGTAGAATAAAATTCTCTCGTTTAATCCTTTATGTTTCTTTTCGAGCATCATAAGGAGTTATTATCTTATCGAGACGATTTACCTAAGTGTTCAAAAGAAGGGTTAAAATCTTTTTCTTTGCTCCGTTCTCGAGAAAACTAACTTTAAATATGTCTTGTTGAGAGTTGACTTAGTAGATGTGAGAAATATTCAAAGTCGTTTTCTTTTAAGAACAAAGTCGTCCATGCGAGCAAATTCTATTTTAGATTTTCGATTTATTCTTATGCATAGAATCACCTCTTTTTCGATTTTATCGTGAAAATGTCACACTTTCATACAATATTAGCTTTCCAAAACGTAGCTTTTGGAATATAAAATGAAGCTAAATGTCATACATTTATTTATCGTATTATGAAAAAGAAGAGAAAAACAGAAACAATATTTTTGTGCTCATATACATACCTATCGTACGTTAATATCTTTCACATGATATTTTCGTTTTTCATAAAATAAAAATTGAACTATTTACTAAGCTAATAATTCTCTGACATACGTACATTTTTTTATATAGATTATTTTATTATCACAGAGTTCTTATAGAGATTATACGTTAATACATATGTTTACATGTGTTAATAAATCTCGATTAACAGATCGAAAAATATATCGTTTTGTTTGAACAAGCGAAACTTTTCATATCTCCGGAAAACAACGGAGATATTCAGGGTGGTAATAGTTCCACACCTGTGTAGCAATATATCGCGTTGAAATAAACGACCACGCTCCGCATCTCCCCCCTCAACGAGAGTCAACGTGTTAACAAAGCAAAATCCAGCCACTTTAATACGCCATTCTCAAGGCAAAAAAGAAAGGCGAGGTAACCGAATAAATAGACGGAAGGAAAGAGTTAAAAATGGACGAAAATTCAGTTAAACAGTCGATCGTGGCTAGCAAGTTTAACCGGGAAATTTCTGTTGAGGAGAGAGGGAGAGATGAGACTTCGAGAAATCTTGATCCGCGAATGCATTGTGCTCGTTCTCGCCGACTCGCGGCTGTCCGTGGACAGAAGAATAGAGTGGAGAGATGGGGAAAAAAAAGAGGGGGAGCCTAGCGAAGGGGCTTTTGAAAAATTATTTTCCGCGTCGACGGTTTCTCGCGGATTCCGCCCCTCGTCCCCACGGCAGCTTCTCGTTCCTCTGTCCCATAATTGGATGGGCCGACTTCTCTCTGCGCCGTGACCGACGAGAGACCACGTTCGGCCCCATTCTCGCTGACAGTTAACCGATAATCACGCCGGGTGCCTTGGAATTCATTAAGATCGTTATCGGATGCACCTTACGACTTTAATTACCACCGCCGGTTTCCTACTTTGTTCGCAGGCCCCCTAGAGCTCGGTAATTAGCCGCTTAGAAGGCGATCGTTCAGCGGAAACGTTCACGTCCTCCCCTGTGATCGCCTTTTGACCAACTACTACCGCATATTTCACGCCACCACCACCTCGTCGTTTTCCAAAATCTCGCAAGCGTTCGCCGCTGCTCGTAAGATTTTCAATCGGCAACGGATCGAATTGCCAAGACAACTGGATTTTAGTTTATTGAGTATGGAATGAAATTGTATTTAATGATACAAACGATCACAGTTGCAAGAATTCTTATATAATAATATATTAAGATAGTTTATATAACAATAATAATATAATAACATTTATATCATATATTATATTACATATTCATATTTATATAATAATTATAATAATATATTAAGAAAATTCTTTTCACGTTTCTAATTATGGAGGTTTGTCACCTTGTCCAGATTTCGAGCAAGAAAGGCTTAACAAGCGAAAGTTAGATTTATAAAGACTTTCTACGACAATATAAATTTTTCCATTTGTCTAAGTTTCCTTTTTCTAAATTTTTGTTTAAAACTCGGAAATTTGCAAAGAAGATTATAAGAATTTAGAGACTGAAAAATGAGACTGTAAAGATCTTTTATTATAAGTTTCATGCTGATTATCGGTATGAACAAGTGCGTGATGATAAAACAAAAAGATATCGTTTTTGAATTATGTTACGATTTTCTTCTGTCTTCGATTAAGATTGGTCATTGCATCGTTGCATTGAAAGGATTGAAAACATTATACACAATTTGTATTTAGTAATTTTCATTTTGAATTGAAACAGAAAATTCAAATTCACGTTCCGCAAGATTACAATTTGCTTTTTCTTTCGACTCGGTACTACAATTCAAAGGGTTGATAAAGTTATATCTAACTATATTTAAAAACGTATTGTTTCGAGTTGCGCCCGATATAATCTCTGATTCGCGTCTCATCGATACCTGCTATCAATACTCCGATAAAAATGTCCAGCCCGGAGGGCTCTCCAACCCTCGTCAACACGAATCTCCACTTTCATTATTCATGATTGGACTAATTTAAAATTTAAAACCGAAACTCGAGCTCGTTGCTGGCGAAATGTAGTCGAAAATCAACAAACGTTTCAGTTCAAAATCCTTCGAAGCTAGCACCGACTCGAACCTCAAAATTCTACCCACAGCGAAACTATGTACAGCGTTTGGAGACTGTTTGCTCCAGCCTGTCAATCTCGATCTTAAAGTATCATATCAATTCGACGGGCTATTTCGTTCCGCTTCCATTGTCCTATCGCATTTATACGGCTCATCGATCGTCAACTATAAAGCGAAAGCTATATCGGATCAATGAATTGAAATTGCTTTGAAGCCAGAAGCTGACAACTGGTAAGTGCGACTCTTGTGGCTGCAGTTCTGTTTAGAATCCGTCGGACCATGTCAAGACGCGATTTCAAATAAGACGATAGACCTCAATTTCTCTCGACAGAGAGAGAGAGAGAGAGAGAGAGAGAGAGAAAGAGAGAGATCACTCTAACAATAAGTACCAATCTTCTTCTTGTAAATCTTAACAGAGGACATTTCTAGCATTTCTGGCGAACGCTGAGAAGATCTGACTCACTCTAGATCAGAGATCGTCATGCTGAATACTTGCTTTTTCATTTTTCTTTTTGGTGAACTTGATATTACGTTCATATTGCTGGCGTTGTTAGAAACAGAGTGTAGAACTATGAAGTTAAAAATTGTTTCTTAGGAATTGATCTCTCCTCGTCGAGTTATTGAACTCTCAGCATATCCGACAATTCGACGAAAATTCGACGAAGTGAGAATTTCTTGAATTTTCGTCGTTTTATCCCAATATTCGGAATTCAATAACTTGGCGAGAGAAAAAACGGTACAGTGAGTTCTAGTAATTGTAAAGGGGAGGCTTCAGTATTCAAATTCACGATCGATTCAGTTATAAGAAAATGTTTTCAATGTTTTGAGAGAATTTGTTGAACTTTCGAGGAAAACCTTTGCTTTCCCACTTACTGCACTAAATGTATAAAATTATTTTTGTGAAAAATAAAGCCAGAATTGCGAAAACAGAGGATTCAGTAGTAGAAGACAAATTCATTGCTGTATAATTTCTTGCTACAAAATTATAACAATTTTTCGAACGTTGGAAATTTAGTGTATGTAAATTTTTGGCCATTTTTTGTAATTATTCCAGATGATGGGAGAGAGCTTTCCGAGTGCAAAGAGTCGGCATTGTTTCAGAGGATTTATAAAATCGTTTGAAAAATGGACGAGCAATACATCTTTTTGTGATTTATAGCTTCAAGAGAATCAGACAGAGTATACTGATATCGTTAACTGGCCACGGATTGCGTTCTATCGAGGTTACCGAGCAAAGTATATTTCCAGGATATCGGTTAACTCGCCAGTTTACGTCTTTGAAAGAAGTTCAAACCGAAGTGACTCCGAGTTACCGAGCTGTTCGTTACTATCTATCGGCGGCGGAACTTCGAAGCTGCCTAGGACAGGTTTTTTATTTTTTTATTTTCTTTCACTTTTCTCCCCCTTTACGCCGCCGCCTCGGACATATTCACGGAGAAATTATTCTTCCGTTTTATGCGCGGCACAAAAGGCAACGGTGACCATCCTCGCGGACCGAGAAAACCGTTCGGTAGATTTATCACAGACTAGAGAGGGATCTTTGTGGGGGAATTACGCTTATCCGTTCGATTCTCACTGTTTGTTCCAGCAATTTGATCGAAAAAAAAAAAAAGAATCAAAAATATAAAAACTCCAAAACTTTTTTCTCCGAAAAAAAAAAAAACAACGAAACGGATTATGCGAATTATTTTTTTCCGCTCAAAAAA